GGTCATGATCTCACGATTTGTGGGATCGAGCCCCATGTCAGGCTCCACACTGATACCATGGAGCCTGCTTGGGATTCTCTCTCTCCCTCTTTCTCTGCTCCTCCCGCACATGTGCTCTCTGAATGAATGAATGAATGAATGAATGAATGAAGCAACTCACTCCCTTAAAAATAATACTTTAAAACCAAGTCTGGCTCAATAGAGAATTAGTTTTAATTATTCTTTTAACTCACTCAACAAACACTTACTGAACACCTACTTATGTTCCTGACAGAAATACATAAATAGAAAGTGTCACAGCTGGTAGACAGGTGCTATGAAGAAAAATAAAGCAGGAGAAGAACAGCAGAGTCATGGCGGGCAAGGCAGGACACTCTGAGAAGGTGGCATTTGAGCAGAGACCTCATGAAGCTAAGGAGAGAACCGTAATGATACCTGGGAGAAGAGGTTTCTAAGCAGAGGGAATAGTAAGTGCAAAGGACCTGAGGCAGAAGTGCGTATGGCATGTTTAAGGAATAGCAAAGAGACCGCTGTGGCTGAAGTGAGGGGGAACTAGCAGTAGGAAATGATTCTGGAGAGGAGACCAGATCATGCAGCACTTCGCAGAATATGGCATAGACTCTGGAGTTCACTCCCAGTGTGATTAAAAGCCACTCAGAGTTCTAAGCAGAAAAATTACATTTATCTTAGTGATTTACATTAAGAAGATCATAATAACATGATGCATTATTATGTATACCTGCTAAGACCAAAGATCTGCCAACTTCTCCTATAAAGGGCCAAATAGTAAATATTTTAGGCTTCATAGGCCACCTGGTCTCTGGTACAACTATTCAACTCTGCAATAGTAGGGCAAAAGCAGCCATAGACAGTTTGCAAATGAATGGATGTGGCATGTTCCGATAAAACTTTCTTTGTAAAAACAGGAGGCTGGGCCATGGTTTGCCAGCCCTGATTTCCAGTATACAGAAAATATAAGCAGAGAGGAACAAAGTAAACAATGCCAAAAAGCAGTAAGATAACACATCCAGAGTGCGAGACATTCTACAAGACAGTTTCCCCAGCTTGTTTAAAAAAAAAAAAGGGGGTGGGGGTGGGGGAGAGCAAAGATGGAAGACAGGGCTGAATGAGGTTAAAACAGGCCAAAGAGACAACATGTACCTTGAGCGAATCCTGGTTTGAAAAACATTTTGCGGACAACTGGGGAAATTCCAGTAGACATGGATACGGACAGATTGGTAAATACTATACTATGAACGGTCACCTGGGTGTGGTAATGGCATCATGATTCTGTAGGAGAAAGTCAGAGGTCTGCTGATGTATTAAGGAGCAAAGCGTCATGAGATATGCATGGAAGTTCACAGTTTAGCATAAAACAAAGCCACATGAGGCAAACCTGGCAAATGGCCGGATTGCTGAGTCTAGGAATTGTAAGGTATCTGGATGTTCATTTCTTGCACTAGTCTTTCCACTTTCCTGTACATCTGATACAAGATGGCGGGGATGCAGGGGAATCTTGGGGAAGGCAGGAGAGGCTACCAGAGAGCAGGCTGTTTCAACATCTAGACAACATCAGTGGCCAGTATGGCCGTCGCTGGCCCTCCCCTGCCACCTCTCCCCAGGCTCAGGCCTATGTGGGGCAGGCCAGTGAGGACAGCCACAAATGAGCGCCCTCCTCTTGCTAGCTCACACGTCCCGCAGGGTTAAGGTCAGGCACCTGGAGTCTGGTCTCAGAGCAGCCCCAGATTTCTCTCCAGCAGCAACAGTGGCAGGTGCTAAGAAAAGGAGCAAGGTGAGGGCTGTCCACCCACCCCTTCCCAATCCTGGTAAAGGGATTCTTCCCGACGCTAAACAGCACAGAATCCCACTGAAATGGAGAGTGGAGCCACCAAAATGCTTTGCCGGCTCCCCACTGCTCCTTTTCCAGGCTTGCAAACTGTGTGCCAGGTACTGCTGAATCAAGGGTTTCCTGTTTATCATCCCCCTGAATCTTTTAGCAACCTTGTGACAAACCCCAATTAATTCACGGCCTGCCAAGCCCTGGGGAGGATCTCCAACTGGAGTCCAGGACCTGGCTGAGCTCCACTTCCCCTCTTCCAAGACCCCTGACCCTGGATTCTTTAGTGACACAGAACCCACTGTGGTCCCTATGATGACAAGCTGTCTCACTTCCCGGCCTTTGCATATACTGGTCCCTTTTCCTTGAGTCACCTTCCCCTTCTTACCCGACACCTTCCGACACCCAGGCCCTATATACCTAATGGTCTCTGTCTGCTTTTAGTGGCAGTCCACAGTTTTTGTCCCCAACTTTCAAGGGAGTAACACCTCACGGCCCAAGATGGGAGGTAGTTCTGTTGCCTTCAGCAGAGCAGGTGTATTTTTAACTTTGGGAAGCTACGCACTGACAATTAATTATAATACATATTGTGGAAACACGTCTTATGATATTGTTTTGTGTGTGCTCTAGATATGCACTGTCCAAGAGGGGGGTGACCAGGGCAGGGCGCCTGGGTGGCTCAGTCGGTTAAGCGTCCGACTTCAGCTCAGGTCATGATCTCAAGGTTTGTGGGTTCGAGCCCTGCGTCAGGCTCTGGGCTGAGTGTAGAGACTGCTTGGGATTTTCTCTCTCTCCCCCTCCCCCACTCGTGCACACTCTCAGTAAATAAATAAATACTTAAATATTTAAATAAATGTTCCATTTCTCGGCTGCACTAGACACATTCCATGTTTTAAAACCTCAACAGGGGGGCGCCTGGGTGGCGCAGTCGGTTAAGCGTCCGACTTCAGCCAGGTCACGATCTGCATGCCGATCACGATGAGTTAGGAGGCAGCATCGAGCTCTGGGCTGATAACCAGAGCAAGAGCCCCTCTGTTCCGATTCTGTGTCTCCCCTCTTCTTTGCCCTCCCCTGCTCACCTCTTTCTCTCTGTCCCAAAAATAAATAAAAACGTTGGAAAAAATAAAAAATAAAAAAAATAAAACCTCAACAGGACCTGTGACTACTGGCCACCCTCTTAGACACCACAGGTACTGAAATCTTCTATCATGGCAGGGAAAGCTCGTGGACGCTTGAACTGGTTCTGGGGTTAGCTGAACCACATCGCCAGACAAGCCAAAGGAGTGTTTCTCAAAGTGAGTCCCAAAGGGACAAAGTGGGGAGAAAGAGATTTCTTAAGAGCATTTACAAGGCCAAGCTCCTACTTGGAAGAGCTCTCAGAAAACAAGAAAAAGACCAACTATGCAACAGAAACATAAGCAAAGGATATGAACAGACAGTTCAGAAGGAGAACTCGTGATGGTTCTGAACACCGGGAAGAAATGCCATAGCCGCACAGAAGGAGAAAAAGGCCTGAACTCACCTTAGGTGCTCCCACGAATCGCGTGGTAAAAATTCCAATAGCTTGAAGTTAGGGCGCTCTGGGTGCGCAGTGTTAAGTTGTCTGGGACTTCAGCCAGTCCGACGACCTCACGGCGTCCTGTGAGTTCGAGTCTCCGAGCTCAGCTCTGACACGGCATGGCTCGGCGAGTCTGTACTCCGCTGTGTCTCCCTCTGTCTGCCCTCCCTCATGTCTCTGCTCCTCTCTGTCCCAAAAATAGTTAAAAAAACGTTGAAAAAAAAAAATTAAAAAAAAAAAAAAAAAAAAGAAAACAAAGGCTGTGGGGACACTCTGAGATATCACGTAAGAGAATCACTTCTCAAAATCACAAGTGCATATTCCCGGTGACCCAAGAATCCCAAATCTAAGAATTCCTTTTACAGATTCACCCGCACATGTATCATGCGAGATAAGCACAAGGTACTTCGCCGCAGCACCGCCTATAATGAGCCGAAGCCGGGAAATATTCACCGATCACCACTCATAAAAAACTGCTAGGTGACCTTGGGGACATACGTGTGCAGCTGTTTAAAAGAGAAACTAAATGGCGAGCCTGGGTGGCTCAGTTGTTAAGCGTCCAACTCTTGATTTCAGCTCAGGTCGTGATCCCTGGGTCATGGGATGGAGCCCTGCAATGGGCTTGCACTGAGCGTGGAGACTGCTTAAGTTTCGCTCTCTCTGCCCCTCTCCCCGACCCTGCGTGCTCTCTCTCTCTCAAACGAAAACCAAACCCAATACAGCAGCTGTGGTGGCTCTCTATATCTCGGAGCAGAAAGATTCCCTAATATATGTTAAGTAAAAAAGCAAGTTCTGAGTACAATGCTACCTTTTGTGTAAAAAGAACCAAGCAGGGAAGCCAGACCAGAGCAGGGTGCAAAAGTCTCCCTGAATGAGCTCATCCACCCGTGAAGCTCTCCGAGGACACAGGACAAGAGCAGTTAACCCGAGGTCAGGGGTGGGGGTGGACAGGGCAGAAGTGAGAGAAACCTCCTTACACTGTTTGATTTTGGAACTAGGTAAATCTGTATCGTCTCTTCTGATGATTAAATTGATCTTTTTAACACTGGCTCTCTGGACCAGCTGCTTCAAAATCAATGGCGATGCTCATTAAAAATGCAGCTCCCTTGGGGCGCCTGGGTGGCTCAGTCGGTTGAGCGTCCGACTTCGGCTCAGGTCATGATCTCGCAGTTTGTGGGTTTGAGCCCCGTGTCGGGCTCTGTGCTGACAGCTCAGAGCCTGGTGCCTGCTTCGGATTCTGTGTCTCCCTCTCTCTCTGACCCTCCCCCGCTCATGTTCTGTCTCTCTCTCTCTCTGTCAAAAATAAATATGACATTAAAAAAAAAAAAAATTAAAAATGCAGCTCCCCAACCCTCCAGGGATCTGCAGCCAACGAGAGACCCTGAAGTAGGCCCAAAGCTCCGTACTGTTAAGCTCTGCCCATGATCCCAATGCACGCTCCAGTCTAAGAATACAGAATGAGGTCTGCAGACTAAGAACCCCTGCTCTTTCTAGCTCTCAGAAGGGCTGAGACCGGAAACTCCTAGGCAGGGGGCCCAGGGGCCCTCCTCCTCACACTAGGCCTGGCCACTCTCGAAGGGTGGCTACACAAAGGCCCACACTCGCCTCTCGTCTGGAGAGTCTACGTGGAAGGTCCTCTCGATGACAGTGGTCCACTGTAGGCAGCGTATGACGAAGGTGTTGGGCCGTGGTCTCTCAGTCTTCATCAGCTGGCACTCTGCAGGCAGAGAGAGGACAGAGGCAGGAAGGTGAGGGAACAGCCCCGCCGGCCTGCAGCCCACAATCCCCGAGCCACCTTCCTGTATGCCAGATGGTGTGGAGATACGTTAGTGACTGAGTCAGCCCTGGCCTTGTCCCTACGGGGCTCCAGGTCCAGTGTGTGTCAGGGAAGACAGCTCAGTGGTCATGGAGGAAGCCCAGGAGGCAGCCGACCTAGCAGAGAACTCAGGCATATCCCAGAGGAAGGGGCATCTCTGCACCGAGCCCTCAAGGAGAAAGGAATGTAGTCAGTCGTGCAGAAGGGCACGTTGTATACAGAAGCCCAGAGGTAAAGAGTCCAGCACAGTGAGGGAATGGTAAATTCTGCTCCAGATGTGAGGAGGGGAGAAGAGAGGGCCAGACTGCAGAGCTTAGGGGGTGTGGTGACGAACCTCGACTTTGGCTTGAGGGCAAAAGGGAGCCATGAAAGGCTTTCAATAGGGAAGGGACATGAAGAGATTTAGACAGATCCTGCTAGCTGCCTTGCAGACAGTGACAGAAGGGAGACTGGGAGCCTGGGGAAGAGGCCGGGACTATGCCAGAGTGGGGCCACTAGGATGAGGCCCAGATCTCTGGCCTGCACACTAGGAAGCAATAGGGCCCTCCCTGAGATAGAGACAGGGTAGATGGAGTTGGGGAAGGGGAGACTCGAAGGCCAGTTTGGGACACGGTGGGTGAGACGGACCTAGAGAACATCCAGGGAGAAACGCACAGGAAGCTTCTCAGGATAGGCTGGCAGTTCAGGTGAAAAACTGGTGCAGGGCATAGCCACATCAGAGTCACCAAACTGCAGGGAAAGTGACCGAGACAGGCTCTTAGCAGGACAGAGAGGGAACCAGAATTGGCTTCAGAGAGCATAGGTAGGAGCAGACTCGAGGGGTGACGCCGGGCAAGAAGCTGGCGCAGGGAGCCGGTGGGAGAGGATGGATGGTGGTTGGGGCTGAGGAGCTGCAGAAGAGATGGGGCTTTCTTTGAAATGTTCTTAGGAGGTGGGACGATGAGGACACGGTGACCAATTAGGTCACCAGGGAAGGAAGGAAGCAGAGGGTCAGGGGCAAGACTGTGCTTCTGCAAGGCCAGGCAAGGGATTTGGGCCGGTCAAGCTTTCCCTGGCCAGGGTCCACTGAAAGGCACCACTTGGGGTACCACAGGGGGGACGGAGGACATCAAGTCGGCCCTGTGATCAGCTGAGTGGGAAGCCACGCTGTCTTAGGTTAGAGGGACAGAGAAGTGTGCTGTTACCAGAGCGCAGGACGCAGGCACCTGACACCAGCCAGAACCATGGGGCCTGGCCAGCAGACTTAGAAGCGCAAAGGCGTGCTGCCTGGGGCGAGGGGCTGGGGAAATGCCTGGCTTCTCCCTTCTTCCTCCTCCCCACTGGCTACCCGTTCAGCCCTCCCTTCTGAGGCCCAGCTGACACAAAGGTGAGGCAGAGGGGAAGGGTGGGGAAGGGTGGGGAAGGGACCCCGAGGGCACGCAGGCCCTACACAGGCCTGCACCCAAGAGAGGCCAACCCCCACGTGCTCCCAGGACCTGCCAGCGGTTCTCTGAGCACCTGAACTCTGGCATGGCGTGCCCTGAGACGCACCTGCGACAGAGAAGTTGTTTAGCGGGGGCAGGGTCTGGTCTGGGGCATCAGGCCGCTCCTTGTATCCAATGAAGGAGCCGTCACTCTTCAGCAGGAAGTACCGGGGCCTCCAGGTCTTGATGTATTCACCTGATCAGAGGCAGGGGGAAGGGAGAGAGGTCAGGGCAGGCTGACAGCACCTCACAAAGGGCACCTGGGTGGGAGGAGGGTTGATGAGAGGGCAGGGAGGAGAAAACCTCCGGGCAGCCCCTGCTGACGCAGACTGGGCGCTGGGCTGGGCCCCAGTGATCCAGAGGTCATGCCTGGCAGGAAGGCGCCTGCTGCAGTGCCCCAGGGCACCAGCTGCCTCAGCGTGTGGCCAGCAGCAAGCCATCCCAGCCATCCTTGCCAGCGCGTGGCACAGTCCCAGGGGAGGCCCAGGCTTCTAAACACACATGCCCTGTGGCCCTGTAAGGCCAAATCCCATGGGCTGGTATTCACCAGGACAGCCGTGCAGGTGGATCAAATGTCACAACACTGTGCCAGGCAGGGTATAACTGTTGCTGTGCCCTCTGAGTGCCCCTTGATTGCCTCCATTTGTTCTAACCACGAATATCCAAGCACCCCGCGTACACACATCCACACTGCAAGGACCCACTCCTCAGAGGGCTGCTAAGGATTAAAGTAAGATGGTGAGGGGCGCCTGGGTGGCTCAGTCGGCTGGGTGTCTAACTTCAGCTCAGGTCGTGATCCCGTGGTTGATGAGTTCAAGCCCTGGGTCGGGCCTTGTGCTGACAGTTCGGAGCCTGGAGCCTGCTTCGAATTCTGTATCTCCCTCTCTCTGCCCCTCCCCTGCTCTTGGTCTCTCTCTCAAAAATAATAAATATTTTAAAATTTTTAAAAAAAGTAGAAACCCATAAGTCCATCAACTAACGGATAGACAAAACGTGGCATATACATACAACAGGGTATTAGTCATAAAAATTACTAATACATGGATGAACCGTAACTTAAGCTAAGTGAAAAGGGCTTATCACAAAGGACCACAAATTATAGGATTCCATTTATATAAAATGTCCAGAGTAGACAAATCTATAGGTGAAAAGCAAATTAGTGGCTGCCTAGGACTTGGGAGCAGGGGAGGAGGTAGTCTGGAGGGAGACTGGAGGGGAATGGCCAAGGGGAAGGGCAGGTTCCTTTTCAGGGTAGTGAAAATGCTCTAAAATGGATTGCAATGATGGATACATGACTCTGAATACACTAAAAGCCACTGAACCGTATAAATGGCTGAATTGTATGGTATGCGAATTACAGCCCAAGCTGTTAAAAGAGACGGCAACCATAAAGCATCCAGCTTAGAGCCCAACACACCACAGGGACTCAGCAGATGCTCTGTTATCATCAGTCCACTGTGCAAGCAAGCAAAGACTGCACCAGGCCCTCAACTCACACGGCGTGATCACAGGATGGGCTCCAAGCCATGTGTGCTGTGTGGCCTCCAATAAGTCACTTCACTTCTCTGAGTCTTTCTCTCCTCTCACGGGGATATTTGTTAATCGGTGACAATGATAAGGTAACATTCTATGCCAGGCACTGTCCTAAGTATATTATGGGTTTTAACTTATTAAATTCCTTCCAGTGTGGATACTAAATGACTCAATGTATATAAAGTTTAAAAAAAAAAAAAACAAACTAGCAAAAATCCCAAATTCAACAGCACAAAGGAAGGAGATGACCAAGTGGGTTTTATCCCAGGAATGCAAAAGTGGTTCAACATATGAAAATCAATCAACGTAATCTACATTAATCAAATGAGGGGGGGAACCACATGACCATTTTGACTGCTGTATAAAAGTATTTGACAAAACCCAATACCCTTTCATGATAAAAATACTCAGCAAGCTAGGAACAGAAGAGAATTTCCTCCGCAGGATAAAGGGCATCTATAAAAAACTCACATCTAACACCATTCAATGATGAAAGACCAAAAACTTTCTCCTTAAACATCAGGAAAAAACGAAGTGGTCTACTGCTTCCACCACTGCTGTTAAACACTGCACTGGAAGTTCTAGCCGGAGAAAAAGAAGAAAAGATGATAAAAGGTATCAGACTTGAAAAGGAATAAGTGAAACGATCTTTATGTGCACATAACATGATTCTATGTATAAGAAATCACAAGGAAGCCACAAAGTAATGATTAGAGCTGATAACCTCAGCAAGATCAACACAAAAACACCAGCTGTTGTTTCTACACATCACCAATGAACAATCCAAAGAGGAAATTTTTTAAAAATTCCATTTATAACAGCACAAGGAGGCAAGAGATGTACATACTAAAACCCACAAAACACTGCTGAAAGAAATTAAAGCCCTAAACAAATACAAAGACATCCTGTGTTCATGGATTGGAAGGCTTCCTATGTTGAGATAGCAATGCTCCCCAAAGCAATCTAGAGTCAACACGGCACCTATCAAAATTCCAACAACCTAGTCTATAGAAACAGAAAAGCCAATCTTTACATTTACACAGAATTCAAATTCATAGGGCAAAGGGTCTAAAAGAGCCAAAAACAATATTGGGAGATGGGGGGAAGAACAAAGTAAAAGAACTCACTCTTCCCAATTTCAAAACTTACTACAAAGCTACAGTCATCATCTGGGGCGCCTGGGTGGCGCAGTTGGTTAAGCGTCTGACTTCAACAGGTCGCGATCACCATGGAGTCCGTGGGGGAGAGTTCGAGGCGCGTCGGAGAGGCTCTAGGCTGATGGCTCGGAGCCTGGAGCCTGTTTCCGATTCTGTGTCTCCCTCTCTCTCTGCCCCTCCCCCATTCATGCTCTGTCTCTCTCTGTCCCAAAAATAAATAAAAACATTGAAAAAAAAAAATTAAAAAAAAAAAAAAAAAGCTACAGTCATCAGTCAGTATGGCCTAAGGATAAACATATAGACCAATGGAATAGAACTAGTCAAAAATAACCCACATATCTATATTGTCGATTTTCAACCAGAGTGTAAGACAGTCCATGAGGAAAAAAAACAGTCTCTTCTAACAAATGGTGGGACAACTGGAAGGCTCACAAAAAGAACAGGAGCTGGACCCCAACCTCACACATTACTACTATGTAAAAAAAATTAGTAACATGGATCTACTTAGGAATAAGAGCTAAAATAAACTCTCAGAAGAATACATGAAACAAGCCTTCATGACCCTTTTCAAGGACTGGCAATAATTCTTAGATATGACACAGAAGAACTAGAAATAAAGAAAAAAAAAGAAGTGGGGGTGCCTGGGTGGCACAGTCAGTTAAGCAGCTGATTCTTGATCTGGAATAATGATCTCACAGTTTGTGAGGTGTGTGCTTGTAGCCGAACCATTGATGGCGTGGAGCCTACTTGGGATTCTGTCTCTCCTTTCTACCCCTCAACTGCTTGTGTGTGTGTGCATGTGTGTGTGCTGCCTTGGCGGCTCTCTCCTCTCTCTCCCAAAATAAGCAAAAAAAAATTAGTGGATCATTAAAAATAAAAGTTCTGGGAGCCTGGGTGGCTCAGTCAGTTGGATGTCTGACTTGTTGAGTCATGATCTTGCAGTCTGTTGAGTTTGAGCCCGA